GGCGGCGCACAATACACGAAGATAACGTTGTAGACAACTGAATCTACAGCATGCAGAATCATAATAGCAAATTTTCTCAAATTATGAACAAAGAGGCCCACAAAAACCCCAATTAAAAGACACCGAGTAAAATATTAGAAACCCATGATCAAGTGAATAAAAAGATAAATACCCCTTTCAACAGAGAATGTGCTTCACTTGATAAGTATGTAGGCAACTTGATCTTATCCTTCACTATCTTCTGCTGAATCTTCTCCCTGCTTCCAGTAAAAGGAGGCTGCAGAAGAAAAAGCCAAGGGAAAAAGATGATGTCATGTCAGAAGACAGAAACTGCGAATCTGATAATAAAACCATGTTATAATCTGAAATCCTCAAAATAACAAGTTGATTCTTTGATGTATACAATCTTATTCACACGATAATATACGATCAAGATTTTAGAAAGCACAATCGTGTGTAAGATAGAATATCAAAATTCATATATGGATACAATTTAGCAAAGTATAGAAAACCTAAAGGTTAAGGACACAGTATGCACAAAAGAGAAAGTGACAGGAAAAACCATTAAAAGAATAAATATAACGTAGGCAAGTTTATTCTATCTAAGGCAAGAAAAAGAAGAGAGCATAAACATCTTCACAACATTCAAAAGAAAATTAAGTGCTTAGGTCCAATAATTGAAGAGCAACAGCCAAGTTTTAGTACTTCCAGAATTTCTCAAAAAGATAGCACAAATTATCCAGGAATAAGAAGAGCACAAAACCTTTCCAGTAAGCATCTCAAATAATAGGACTCCTACGCTCCACCAGTCTGCAGCCTTATCGTGGCCCTTTCCAAGAACAATTTCAGGTGACATATACTCTACAGTTCCGCACAAGGAATTAGACCTTTCATTCTCTTCGAATTGCTTAGCGAGCCCAAAGTCAGTCAACATGGCCTAATATATTAATAACTGTGTCAGTTACACTAATCATCATTGACTACTCATTGCATTAAGAGTCAGCACAATTAGACAGAGGGAGGGGAGATGGACGGAAGAAGTGAGAAAGAGATAGATCAGTACATGGCCGTCTGCGTCCAATAAGATATTTTCAGGTTTAAGATCCCTATGCATTATGCCATTTGCGTGGAGATGAGAAACTGCAGAAACAATCTCAGCTGCATATATACGTGCCAGATCCTCTCTGCAAAAATTAAAGAAAAAAGAAAAGTCTTGTATATTAAGGTCCGTCCATTGAACATGTAAAATGATTCAAGTGCTATAGAATTTAAAACTTAAGGTTACCTAAAAAGGCCTTGGTGGTAGAGCTGAAAGAACAGGTGACCTCCATTAACAAAATCCAACACAAGGTAAAGTCTATATTTAGTCTGCAAAAGAGTAAGCTCAAATCAGTAGTCTGTCATGATAAAGAATCAGGATTAATTTCACAAATGGTCCCTGAAGTTTAGTCCCTGACTTTTCAAACGTCACATAGATGGTCCTTGAGATTTTATTTTGTTTCAATTTCGGTCCTTCCTTCAACTAAGTGTTAAAATTTGATAGAATATGTGTAAATTAGAGTCCAAAATTAGAAACATCTAAAATTTTGGGTCTGTCTGTGGAAATTAACTTTTGGTTTTTTATATTGTTTTAGTCTCTAAACTTTATGGGTGTGTTTGGAACTCGTTCTAAAATGATTTTGTTTTTTGTATGAAAATGGAAATGAAAACGTTTTCAATCTCAAACAGAAATCATTTTTGAAAATGCATTTGTTAGTTTTATCAAGAGATTGTTTTCATTATAAAAAAATTCATTAATGTCTCTTTCTCTCTACTCGAGAGAGGAGAAAACGGAAACAAAAAATGAAAAACGACTAAAAGTGGTTTTTTATTTCTCTCCCATTTTACACTAAACCAAAAAATCGTTTTTATTTCCGTTTTTCGTCTTTAATTGTGCCAAACGCTGTTTCTTTCCCGTTTTCATTTTTTCTTTCTCGAAAAACGTGAAAAACAAAAACAAAAACAACTCAAACACAGCCTATATGTTTCTAATTTTAGTCCATAATTTCTACAGATTCCGTCAAATATTTAACACTAAACTAATAGAAGGACCGAAACTGGAATAAAATAAAACTTTAGGGACAAAATAAACCTTTAAGGACCAACTGTGTGATGTTTAAAAAGTTAAGGACTAAAATAAGATTGGGGCTAAACGTCAGGGACTATTTGTGAGATTAACCCAAAGAATAAAGAGCTAATTTACACTGAACCCTGAACTCTTATTCATTCCTTTCGTTTTCAACTTAAAAATTAGCGCACTGTTCTTCAATTGTCCACGTCTAATCATTTTGAAAAAGCAATAAGAAATTGTTGGGATAACTTATTAAAGCGTTTCCTGACTTCTACACAATAATGTTGGCCATCAACATATTGTAATGACACATTTGGGCGGTCAGTGAAAAACTTTGGCTACCTATCTAATAATTAATATCAAAACTGGTCAAGTTTCCAAATGTAAGAAACAATTTAAGCCGAAAAGGGCATATATAAATTCTAATAGATTGCTTACAGACATAATTGAGCATCAATGGTTCAATTTCAGAGTCACAAGAGTTTCATAATTGTATACATCAGAACACATTAATAACCAATAAAAACACATTGACTAGACTTGAATATGGGAAGCATATTGGGCTAAATAAGTTGAGTTAGAAATTACTTGGAATGAGTATCTGAGTTGGACAATGAAGGGATGGTCTATAATAGTTAATATATCCCTCTCAGCTTTCATGTATTCAGCGTGATTCTTCTCCATAATCTTGTCCTTCCTCATAACCTTCATTGCATATATTTCTGATGTCCCCCTTTTCCTCACTTGATATACTTTTGCAAATGCACCCTGGCCAACCACCTTCAAAACCTCAAAATCTTCAATCCCCACAGTTTCGACCTTCATGGAATCACCATCAACTTCCTGAGGAGATTTCTCAGTGAAACCATCGTCACTAGAGAGTTCGTGAATTCCCTTGGCCGTCTTTCCATCGACACACTTTAGGTGTTCATCTATGTCCTCCGTCTCGTGTATGGTGAGCTTACTGAGCTTCAAGGATTGACTCACACAAGATGATGGGCCAACCAGAGAATGTGAGCGGTTGAAAATTACTACTGGGTCATCATACACAATCTCATTCGACTCTTCAACAATGACAGAGAGATCTGAATCACCATAAATTACTTCTTTCGGTGCCTGAACAGATACAGGACCAAATACATCAGAGAAATCTAGTTCAACATGATCTGAAACTACAGAATCCATGGGGTTCTTCAGAAACAGAAACTGGGTCTGAAGTGGTGTACAATAGCCGTTCTTCGCCAAACCAGAAAGCTGAGAGGAAACCATGTTGCCAAGTATATATTATGGTTCCAAAACTGCAGAAAGGATAGCCAGTTCAATCGTGGCTATAGGTTAATCTCCTCAAAAGCAGAGGGGCTTCGATCAATGGCCTTAATCAACAGGAAGCTGACGTATGCAAAAGGAGTTCCCAAGAATTTCGGCAACAAGCAAAACAAAATCCAGAAGAAGCAGAGGTCACTGTTGTTTCCCGAATTACAGGAAACCACGGATGTTTCAGTAGCTTTTGAATTCATGAAGATCAAGCTGTCAAATCTGCAGTCCAAAGTCAAACACAACCACCTCAACTAGTTAATACGCAATGCAAAGCGATATGCCAAGCCCGTAACAATCTCTAACGGAGCAGTGAGTAACACATTTTTGCAAGCTAGAAAAGAATAAATAATTAAATAAATCCAGCAAAAGAATTTTAGAAAAAAAAAAGAACAAATTTTTTAAGCGGTTCTATTTCAACAACCAAAAAAAAAAAATGGAAACCACCAGGTGAATAATGAGCGATAAAAGCGCCAAATAATATAATTCCCTGATAAACAAATTTCCATGCTGAAGGAAGGGAAACATAACAAAAAAACAGAAAACAAACAAAACAGAAAATTAACCAACTATGAATAGTACCGATTTGCCATGATATCAATGCTTGACCTAAATCAATTCGGCAGACCAGAATAACCGAGACCCGAAGCAAAATTCCTTATTCTTCTCTATTGAATTGACAATTCAGATTTCAAGATAAACTCTAGATTAAAGCGCCAAACTTTAACAATCAACATCTCCTAAAACGGATCTCTTCAAACACAAAGGTAACAATAAGTTCGGTTTCTCCTAAAACGGATCTCTTCAAGCACAAAGGTAACAATAAGTTCGGTTTCTGCGAAATTCACATCCAGATCTCCAAATAATTAGACTTCCATCCCAACTCCCAAGACGCCAACTTTCCATCATTTTCCCACGGATTCTCGGGAACCAAACACAAACAACAACAAAAGAATTGTAATTCCAACTGAAAAACAAAAAGGAAAGAGAGGAGAGAGAGAAAGTTACCTGGGAAGGTTGCGGAAGGGAAAGGCGTTTGAAAAGAGAGAGAAGTTCTTGAGAGAGAGAAATTCTCAGATTGATCCGAGGCTTCGCGTCGCCACTTATATGTACCACGGAACAAAGCACTTCTGGTGGCTCTTGAATTTGACGCTTTTTTGGCAACACGTGGCGCAATATGAGTGGGTGAGGAGTGATTAGCAAATTAATCCTGAATTTTGTTTTGACCTTTTTGGGGTAGAATTAGGATTGCCCAAATAGAATATGCTTTTTTCAGGAATTGCGCGGCTGATGGGGACATGGTATAGTGGCATTGTCAGGCTTAATTTGTTAAAATTCTCTACTTATTCTAAAGGACTTTATTCGGCAATTTGGTGTTTTAAGGATAATTGATAAAGTTTTTAATAATTTGTATTTATCTCGTAATTGTTTAGTTTAATTTTAGCATTTAATGACTAAAATTATATTGTTACAGTATTTTATTTTATATAAATTAAAATTTAATTTTTTACTACATTATTTTTCTCACATACACAATTCAAGTTATAATTTGAATTGTACAAATGAGCACATCCTAATTTATTTGTATTTTAGAGATTGACAAGTTTTATATTTAAATATAAGGATTATTATTTCATAAAAAAATAAGAATTATTGTTATTGGTGCCCTAAATGTTTACTTAATTTTAAAATTCTCACTTTATTCTTTAAAATTTGAATTGTTCTCACTTAACAATTCTGTTAGAATTTCTATTAAAAACACGTAGAAAAGCATAGAGTAATGCAGTTATGTAATCTTTTTGTTTGAATATATTTTTAAAACAAACTGATAAAAACCACATTATCACACTTAATATTTTTCTTCACGTCTAATTTTAACCCGAAATTCTTATAAAAAGGCTTACATGGGACTAATCTAAAAGTCACGGGATAAAGTGAGAATTTTTAAAGTTTAGGGATGATCGCAAAGTTTGGGGGCACAGTGAGATTAACTCTAAATATAGACTCCTCATATGATTGTATATACCCTACTATAAATAAAGCAATACACGATGTGAAAACGACAACGTTTTTTACAAAAACCATCATCTAATGTACATTTCAAAAATGTGGCATGGACTACTCTGTAACTGTTTAGATGATGGTTTAAATGAAGACGTAAATATATCAACCAATATCAATCAAATGTCAAAATTACCATATTTTATATTTGACAAATTTACCATCAAATAATATATATGATGAATTTGACACAATAAATAGTACTATATTAGAGAGTATTTTTTATGTAAACTTTTAAATTTATTATTAGTATATTAATTATAACATTTTATTAAAGATGTTGTAATATGGAAAACAAAAGAAAAAAAATATAAGAGTTAAAAAGGGAAAAAGAGAAAAAGCACAAAAAGGGTATAGAAAACATTTCTTTAAAAAAAAAGTCAAAAAGAAAAGGAAAAAAAAAAAAAGCATAGCAAGCACCAAATAGGGCCCGTTAGACTTCCAAAACATGAATAGTAGAGCCTATATTGTCTCTTCTAATTAGACTGCCAAAACATGAATAGTAGAGCTTATGTCGTCTCTTTTAATATAGTTAAGATTAAGATTAAGATAAGATAAAAATGTTTGACAAATTTAACGGTAAAATAAGAAATGAGTAAAAATAAAATAAAATAGATAAAGAGTATTTTATGTGAAAAATTCTTAAAAGAGACGGAATAAAAATTACAAGATAAATATAAAAGTATTGTATTATGAAAAATGAGGATTATAACTTTCTTTTTAAATTATACGGAGAGAACAATAAAAATTATTATCTCATGTAAATAGGAGAAACACATCACAAAAGAAGAAAAATTAGAGAAACTAAATTTCTCACACTATAAGAATTCTCTTGGAAGGGTGAGAATGGGATGTAAAACTGAAAAAGGGAGAAACTGTATTTATAGCTGAGCTCATTTTAAAAAAACAATATAAATGAGTTATAAACAACTAGTACTTTTCTCAAATATTAACACTACATTTAGTATTGATTTTTAATTTCTCTTTGTTTTTTTTTCTTCAAAAGTTACGACTGTTTTTGACTTATTAGATAACGCTTAAAAGGGAAAAAAAAATTTCTACTGTCTATATAGAAGAGGGGATGACTTTTTTAAGAGTTTTACACTTGATTGCCTGCTAGCTTAACACCATATTAGAAGTTAGAAACAAAACCAAAGCTAATTTCCCTATCATATATATCATAATCACTTCAAGAAACAACAATTTCATTCATCGTTTTGGTTTCCAAAACAATTAAAGAATGGAGAAAGAGTTGTTGAATCTCTTCCGTAAGGTGAAGAAGGCGGCGGATGTGGCGGTGGCCAAAGAGGTTCCGCGAATGGAGCGGAGATTTCGCGATGCATTGACGCTCTAAACCATGGTGTGTATACTAATAACCTTAACTCTCACTATATAACTTTTATGTTTTTAATTGGGGCTCATCACTTTCGGCAATTTCCTGTTTTACACTCATATTATTGCGATTAATCCATCTGTTTCTAATCTAGTGTATCACGCAAGCTTAATTTCTACTGTCTATATAGAAGAGGGGATGACTTTTTTAAGAGTTTTACACTTGATTGCCTGCTAGCTTAACACCATATTAGAAGTTAGAAACAAAACCAAAGCTAATTTCCCTATCATATATATCATAATCACTTCAAGGAACAACAATTTCATTCATCGTTTTGGTTTCCAAAACAATTAAAGAATGGAGAAAGAGTTGTTGAATCTCTTCCGTAAGGCGAAGAAGGCGGCGGCCAAAGAGGTTCCGCGAATAGAGCGGAGATTTTCGTGATGCATTGACGCTCTAAACCATGGTGTGTATACTAATAACCTTAACTCTCACTATATAACTTTTCTGTTTTTAATTGGGCTCATCACTTTCGGCAGTTTCCTGTTTTACACTCCTATTATTGCGATTAATCATTCTGTTTCTAATCCAGTGTATCACGCAAGCTTAGAATCCTCATCTCTTTAATGCATGAAAATTCTTTATTTCGCAGAAATTAAAAGATATTGGGCATAACTCAACCTAATAAAACTGACTTGTTAAGAGAGGATTGTCCCCACTTTATTAAGTAGATCCTGCTAATATCTCCAATTAATGTAGGATTTTAATACGCATCCTCACGCATAGCGTAGATCATGACAAACCGTTACAAATAAGTTGATATTGGGAGACCTAATATTGTAAAACTGAGCCTGCTCTGATACCATGTTACAGAAATTGAAAGATATTAGGCTTAATTGAACATAATAAAACCGGCTTATTAGGAGATGATCGTGTGAAGTGTAGCGTACTTACCTTTATAGCCTGCCGGAACGGAACTATAAAGAGTGTGAGCGAGCATTCCTCTCACTCCCTTACGGGACAGTTGAGCCTCATGAATAGCCTTCCATCGAAAAGACAAATCAAACTATGTGATATCTACTTAAATTACCCAAGGTCATTTAAAGTATACATTAGAAGTAGACTACTTAGTCATGGGCCGGGGCATAATGAAAGGTAGATCGTCCTCGCAAGTGGATCATGTCAATATCTACGAGATTTTAATAGGTACCATATATAGAGTACTCAAATATATTGATCGTTCGTATATTATTTTTCAGGTTGCAAAGAAGCTTCGACCTCTAACGAAACATCCTAAAGAAAATGTTTGAACTTTGGCATCTGAGATTATTCAGACATGGAAGGCTCACTTCATTGAAGAATTAAACAATGGCAAAAGGGACTGCCTTGGCTCTGCAAAATCCAACGTGAAGGAAACTACAAATAAGGCAGATGATGTTCATCGTAAGATCATCAGCAAACTCAAAGTAAATCGTAATGAAAACGTTTCGAGTAAGTCGCCGGTCAAAATCAGAGAACGCCTTGTGGCGGCTTTGTTGACAGTCGCATCGACTCGAGGCTTGAGATCCGGTTGAAGTTGCCGCTGCGGTGGAGACAGCCATGTTCGACAAGATTAAGGATGAGAAGAAGAAAATCAGGTCGATCATGTTCGATTTGAGTGATCCCAAGAACCCGGACTTGAGGAGGAACGTTCTTCTGGGAGAGGTGAAGCCAGAGAGGCTTATGACCATGTCCAACACGGAGATGGCGAGCGAGGAATTGCAACTTCGAATAAAGTGAATAGAAGAAAGAGCCTTGGAGAAGGCCCATGCCGGTAGATCAGCGGCAGAAGAGAAAGCGACGACGGATCAGTTCAAATGCGACGGTTTAAGAGGAAGACGGTCGGTGACGGTTTACCATCAGATGCAGACAAGGAGTGCTGATGAGCCCATGACTACTTATGTCACTTGCATGAACTGCAATCACCACTGGAAGTTCTGCTGATCATCATATTCAGATTTCTTCTTAATTTCTCTTCTATATATTGTAACATAGAGAAGTCTAACAATGACTACTACATATAGGAGCTATGTTGGTTTTATGATTGTTTATTCTGGGATTGTTCTTTTTATTTTACGGGAAGTAAACTCTCTATTTGTTTCCTTGTTCAGAGTTCAGACAAATGAGGAACAAGTAATTTTGTCATATTGTGTAATGTGTATATAATTGAATCTCTGCTATTGCTAGTCTTAAGAAATGTGTTTTTCTGCTAATAATAGAGATTTTATACATTCAGATTACTGCTGTTATATATGAAAATGTTGAAAATAATTAAGTCTAGAGTGAATGCAAGCATTGCCTACCGCTTCCCTGTTTATATAGATGTTTATTAAAAAAGTTATTGGTTCAACATTTTCTAAGAAAGGATGTTGTAACTGCATTAGATGATTAATATGGAAAGGGCAATGTAATTGGCTGCTGTGTTGAAAATTGGAAGTTCATGCTTATGTTTTTCATTTGGTTGCTTTTTTACTCCTTCCCTTAATTATAGAAGGGAGAGTGAGATGGGATCTTTGTGATCGATCTGTTGAATCCTTTTCTGTCAAAGCTAAAACGGTTTTTGGCGTTTCAAGTTCAATCCCATTAATTTTCAGGAATTGCTGGTTGTTACCATTAAAAGAAGAAAGGGAACACAAATACAGGTTACATGTACTTTTAGGTCTCATTTAATTCGTCGATTTAAATTTTTAATTTAAGTTAAGATGTGACTTTATGTGAAAATTTTTAACTGTAGCAGAAAAAATTAGATGTGACTTTTTGTGAGAACTTTTAACTGTAGCAAAACTGAATTTAAAAACTCAATTCGGTGAAATGAACAAGACTTTACATACTGCGAGAAAAAAAAAGAAAAATTTTACTAATAAAGAGATTATCAACGGATTCCATATAAATACTTATTCTAATTAAAAAATTGAGCTAGTTATGCAAAAGTATAAAAAAATCTCCTAAAAAGAGAGATTCCTAATATAAAAAAGAAGTACAATTAAATTAAACTTGTGTTAAAATAACTAATATACCATCACTAATACAAGATAACAAAGTTCAATCCCATTGTCAAATCCGTTAATAATAAGAAATTTTACCGAGCAATAGAATAATAACAAATAAATAAATTGATATAAAAGTCAGGATTAGCGTTAGTGTCCTGTCATTATTTAGCCATAGTTTTGTTTGGTTGTTTTGTTTTTTTTTTTTTGTTTTTTTTGAGTAGTAGCCATCGTTGATTGAACAAGAAGAGTTCAATTTCTTCCAAAACGCTATTGTAGTGATGTCGTCTTCTCGTCTCCTCTTGATAAGTAAGCGGAGCTTTAACTAATTCCGTTAACCAGAAAGCGGGCTTTGCTTCTCGAACCATGTACGGTTGCCTTTCTCCCTCTCCGATTTCACTCTCTCTCTGTAAAATCACCACCACCAAAGCCCTAACACCATTCCCCAACTTCTCTCCCTGGAAAAACGGCACGTCGTTTCTCTTCCTTCGCGGCAGAGAACCCACGAAGAAGACTCCGACCGTGTTCGGCTCAGACTCGGAGCAGCATCGATTTCGTGCGGAATTAGGGTTTAAGGAGAAAGGCGAAGATCCTTTCGAGGATTTCGAAACGAATATCAGCAAATTCAAGCGGAAGAAGAATGGCGGAGGACGAAGAAGAGAGGGTGGTGAAGCGAATTCTTCGGAGCTTCTGGAATTGAAGGACGAGAAGGTAAGTGGAGAGAGTAAGCGAAGTTTCGAGGACGAGAATTTAGTGCGTTTCGAGGATGGGAATGGAGATGGTGATGAGGAGGAGGAGAAATTGGTTAGGGCTGATGGAAGAATGGGGTTGAGGAAAGGGAGACAGGTGGTGAGGAGGTCGAGCTTGCTTGCGAAGCAAGTTATCAGCATTCGAAGTGCTCTCAGTTTGGGCTTCGTTTCGCAGCTTTGGGTTGATACTACTTCTGTAAGTGTTCTGTTGCTTTTACTATATGAATTTTGTAGTTGACTGAGCTTGTTTAGTAACAGTTTTTAATTTTAGAGCAAAAAAATATGAATCCTGTAGTTTTTCAGCCAGTCATTGTGGAAGTGATTGTTTTTTTAGGTGTATGTAAGAATTGAGTTCCTGAGAATGGAACATGTCTTCTTAGTTTTTCTTTGAAGAAAAAGGTGTTCAAATCAACTTTATTTGAAGCCTTTGATGCTGTAGTGGATATTTGTGTATTGCTACCAAGTACCAACCATTGATTTTTCAGAAATATTCTGTGAAGATAAACACGAGAAGAAAAAAAATGAAAATTAGTTGCTATTGTTTTTCAATTTTTAATATTTTATGAGGTGATTTGGGAAATGCCAAATTTCAGTAAATTTATGATTTACTATCCCGTGAGTAATGAATTTAATGGGTAAACCTCAATTAATTTAATAAGTGAATGTAAATTTAGGCAGTAAATAATGGATTTGCGGCCCTTTTTCTTCAATTAAAAGAGAGAGAAAAGAATAAACTGGCCATTTATTTTCGAGCAGATCCACTACAATTTCCCTATCTTATTATGCCGGTCTTATTCATTTAGTTTCTTGCTCATATACCAATTCCTTTTGGCATTTAACTCAATTATTTTTAGTTTTAAGATTTACTTGCAAAATGGTTACCCTGGCACTCACAACTCAGTTGCAAAATGCCAAAATCTTTCTAATTTATCTTCTGTTATAGCTATTATGATATTTTCTTTTTGTTGATCTCTGATTGTGTGTGTGTGTGTGTGTGCGTGTGATATCTCTTGTGCAGTGGGTTGTATTGTTTCTAGAAGTGAGGCCAAACTTGCTTTCAGGGGAATGTGAACGTTTTCTTTTGGAGGATGTTAGCCAAGTAAGATGTCATTTCTCATTTACATGCTCTCTTTCTTGACGCAGTAGGGTCTGTGTGACAAGACCCAGCCCGCTGCCCGCAGATGTGCATGAGTATATTTCATTGGTTTTTAACTATAGGAGCTTAGCACTCTTTGTTTGGTGTTTTATTCTTTTTGATAAATTCTGGCAACTATGTATGTTTGGGTTTAATGTCTTTGCTAACTTTATCTCTGCATATTTTATCCTCTCTTTGATTGTTATAGTTTTATTTTTTTTAATATATAGGAGAAATGTTTTTACAAAAAGGAGCTTTGGGAAAGATTGACAATAGTACACTTATAAAGGATTGTTTTGCAGCTTCATTTCTTAAACCTTTTTTCCTTCATCTCTTCCTTTCTGTGATTTGTCGATGATTTGTTTCATTCACTCTTATGAGAAGCAACAACAGTATCATTCTTGATTGTCTTTTAGTGCGAACTATTAGTGCTCCTATAAAGTATTCAATATGTTACTTTTGCAGGTTGGTGATGTTGTACTTGTTGAGGATGAGACTGTGATTGAGAATGAATTTAAAATGATTGGGCTGGAAACATTGGTATGTTTTGGCTCCCATCTTCAGTGAATCTCAAATATTAGTGTATCTTTCGGTTTAAAACATGTTTCTCTCTTCCGATTGTGTATTTATTTTTCACTTTTGCTTTTGAGGCCGGGTGAGTGCGTTCATTTCTGTATCTGTTTTCCTCAATGTATTGAAGATAGTTTATGTTTAAAGTGGATTTATAAGCGCAACTAGCACTGAGATGTCATCATTTACTCTTTCAAGTATTAAGTTGTGATGTTTGCTAGGTAGGATACAAAGTTGTGACACCAAGTCGACGAAACATAGGCAAGGTAGGTCTTCCTTTCCTGTTCTAATTGCTAAACTTTTTTTGTTCCCATATTCCTTCAATTGTTTAATATTCTTGGTACATTTTCAGGTGCGGGGATACACTTTCAATGTTAATTCAGGGGCTATTGAGTCTCTGGAGCTTGATTCTTTTGGGATCTCAATTATCCCCTCAAGTTTGGTATGCGGACTATAAAATTTTTTTCTCTTTAACGAAGTGAGAGCCAAAATGCTTTTCACCATACTGTTTATTTATTGAACTCGTGTTTAAGTTTATCTCGTGTATTGCATGTTATACTGACAATTCTCTTCCATCACTTCTAACATGCAATACTTTGCATGATTTAGGTAAGTACTTATGCTTTGCTTGTTGAGGATGTGCTGGAAGTTCTATCTGATGCTATTGTCGTACATGAAGCTGCTGCTTCACGTATACAGAGGCTGACTAAGGTACATTTTTCTGTTCTCATCACAAGGTGTGCCCGAGGTTGTGTGCTTCATTTCTTGCATGCTTCTTAAGGAATGCTGCTCTGTGCATTCCTTTTTGTGGTAATTGCACCACACACTTACAACGCGGAACAAAAGAATTAAGAATAAATGTCAAACTTCTCTGTCTCTCATTTTGGACTCCCTATGATAGTTACTATGGCCTCATTTGCTCACGGATTCTAGTTTTCAATTCAAGCTGAGATGTGGCATTTTTTTAGAACTTTTAACTGTAGCAGAAAAGTTAGATGTGACATTTTCTGAGAGCTTTTAACTTTAGAAACCTAGAACTGAAAACTCGAATCGGTGAAATGAACGAGGCCTAAGTTGTTTTATGATAATGTTGTGATAAGCCCCCAATCAGGTTTACATATGTCAGGCGTGCCAAACATGTGCGCTAGGTGCTGGGTGACGTGTTAGTGGGCTGTGGAGTGCATCAGGAATATATGTTAGGGGTGTTTTCCGTGCAGGGGCATTAGTGTCTTTTCCGTTTTGGTTAATAAAAGAGGGGCAGGGTTTATGTTGTTTTTGGGTGAGTGACAGAAAAGGGGAGAGAGCTAGACCTCTCGAATGTCCATGTGAGTCTGTTTCGGTGCTTGGGAAAAACCAGTATCAATACAAATTGTTTTCACTTTACTTTTCTCTTGATTTCTCGTTGTTTTCTGTTTGTTTTCGTTCTTCCTAGCTTGTGCTTACCAATTTGGTATCAGAGCATCTCGATCTGGGAATGGTGAATAATAGGAAACCAAGAGGCAAGGCTGAGGTTGGAGGGGGAGGTCATGGCAAAGCATAGTCGGAGACAGTGGATACGCGGATCTCGGCGGTGGAGGATCGGATTGAGCAGGTTTAAGGAGGATTGCTGAAGTTGGATATGGTGGAGAGGACTTTGACGTTGGTATTGGAGAAGATCACAGGCCTTGAACGCTTGGAGCAGGTTCTCCGGAAGATGGAGGAATCGGTACGGGTGGATTTCCCACTAGCAGACAAGGGGAAGGCGAAGGAGTCAGATCTACTGACGAATTTGGGTTCAACGGCTGTAAAGGGGGGTATATCGGTACCCACTCCGCCTTCGGGGTCAACGGCACCGTTTATGGGAGTGGAGAGTACGGAAGGTGGTTCGAGTGGCGGTCGCGAGGGGATTTGGAAAGGGGAATGTCCGTCTCATCGCCTAGAGATGCCGGTCTTCGACGGTGTGAACCCGGAGGGATGGGTCTATCGGGTAGAACACTATTTCACCCTCAATCGCTTGACCGAAGAGGAGAAGTTGTCTGCAGCGGCGATCGCATTGGACCAGGAGGCGCTAGCCTGGTTCTAGTGGGAGGAAGGACGTCGACCCATGAGAAGCTGGTCTGAAATGAAGTCGAATCTTCTAGATCATTTCCGGTTGACTCAGGAGGGCTCGAGTTGCGAAAAGTTTCAAGCCCTGCGGCAGGAGGGGTCGGTCTGGAAATTTCGGCGCCTATTTGAGGTCCTAGCAGCGCCTATTTGAGAATGATGCGACCCAGCAGATTAGTGAAATTTATGGAGTTAGCTTAGCGGGTGGAGGACCGAAACTTGTTGTTGCAGCCGGCGAAGGTGATGGGAAATCCAAGCACTGCCCGGAACCCAACACTGACCTATGGCCAAAGCATTTATGCACAGCTCCCTTCAATCCCACGACCTATCCACGGACAGGTAAGACCCCCGGGGCCGAAACCAACTCTTCCATTCAAACGTTTGACTGATTCTGAGCTTCAACAAAAGAAAGAAAAAGGACTATGTTTCCGTTGTGATGAAAAATACTCTATCGGGCATCGATGTAAGAACAAGGAGTTGCATGCCCTAGTAGTTAACGATGAGGTTGAGGGGCCTGACGGGGAGGAGGGAAATGGCACTGAGGAAGCCCCCAAGGAACCCGTAATTGAAGAGATGGTGAAGCTCTCAATCAACTTTGTGGTGGGGTTAGCAAGCCCAAATACTATGAAGGTGAAGGGCCGAATTGCACAGCAGGAAGTCGTGGTGATTGATTGATTGTGGGGCAACCCACAACTTCATTTCCACCGATCTCGTGGAGAGATTGGCCATTCCACAAGTGCCGACCAATGGCTATGGAATGTTTTTAAGGGGACGGGATTCACTGTTAAAGGTGAGGGCCTGTGTAAGGGAGTGGTCTTGAAGTTGCAAAACATAGAGATTATGGAGGATTTCCTTCCCCTTGAACTCGGGAGTGCCGACGTCATATTGGGAATGAAGTGGCTTGAGACGTTGGGGGGTATGTGATAAGTCCAAGCCCTTGATTAGACGGGTTTATGTTAGAAAGGGGAGTCGGGTGTAAATGGTCCTGCTTGTAGCAGATTAGGCTTGTAACAAATGGGAGGAAGTTAGACGTGAGGGGGAGAGATAGCTGAGAGTTAGTTAGAACATATTAGATAAATAGGAAGGGAGAGGGGGTACGGGGGGTTATCCAGAGAGAGAGAATTAGGTAGGAACTTGGCAATTGAGCTAGCTGGGGAGGTTGCAGTCCCTCGAAGCACTGTGGATATGTTCTTTTGTCTATAACACAATAAACGTTCTTGATTCTTGATTCCATTTCTTCTTTTATTCTTCTGGTTGTGTGAAAGAAACCCTAGAATCTATCATTTTGGTATCAGAGCACGATTTTGGGGAGGATATGGCGGTGGCCAGGAAGACGGAAGAGAGATTCGACATTGTCGAGAAAGAAATCAAGGAAATGTGTGAAGCGATGAAGAAAGAGGTAGGCGAGGTTAAGGCCGAGGTGATTCAAAGCCTGGCCGATCTTCGTCGTGTCTGGGAGGAATACATGAAAAATTCGTCGTCGGAGGCTCCCGCGCCGGAGAAGGCGAAGACAATCGCGACGGCGGAGCAGCGCCGAGTAACTCCGGAGTAATGGAAGAGATTCGAGCCGAAATCGCGCTAGGTACGCATGAGGCAAATCGCGCGGTGGATCGAAGGGCTCCACGAGACCTAGATCGGGAGGTCGCGAGGGAAGAGACCTTAAGGTGCGATGGTGGATGGGAAGTACTAGTGAGGAATCAGAGGGGGGAAACCGGTGGGAACAGAGGCGACTGGTGGGGCGCGACGGTAGAGGAGGGATTTCAAAGAAACGGCGGAGGATTGGGCGGTTGGAACGGTGGCCGCGGGAACGGTGGAGAGTCATGGCGAGCTGGAACGAGAGAGGAAGGTCGTTGGGATTTTGCTAGGACAGTTTTTCCACACGGGGAGGGTAATAACAGAGAATTTAGGAGGAACATTGGAGGTTGAGAAGAAGTTTCTGAGGACGAAGACTAGATCGCCAATCGCAGGAGGCACATAGAATGTCCAACCTTCAGTGGAGATGACCCAGACGGTTGGGTATTCAGGATGGAGCAGTACTTTGCAATCCAACACTGAGCAGGAATAGCGTTGGACAGTGAAGCCTTGTCCTGGTTTCAATGGCAGAATGGGAGACGTCCCTTCTTTAATTGGATGTAATTTAAGATGGCTCTCTTACAGCGTTTCCGATCTTCTCAGGAAGTTTGTGTGAAAAATTTTTGGCGATCAGGCAAGATGGGACAGTGGCCGACTACCGATGGAGGTTCGAGATTACGGCTGCCCCGCTCAGGGAGGTACCAGAGGAGATATTGGAAGGAATTTTCATTAATGGACTCAGGGCTGAAGTTCGAGCGGAACTAAGGCTGTTGAAGCCGTCTGGACTAGGAGAGATAATGGAAACAGCGCAGCGGATAGAGGAGAAGAATGAATTGCTCCGGAAGGAGGTGATTGGGTTGAAGTGGACACAGGCACAAGGGGAAGGGCTGTGCCGCAAAAGAAAGACTTTCCTTTTCGGAAATTAACGGATTCCGAATGGCAGGAGAAAAGGGAGAAAGGTTTGTGCTTTCGTTGTGATGAGAAGTTTACCATGGGACACCGGTGCAAAAAGAAAGAATTACAGATCATGTTAGTTAGTGATGAGCAAGAGTTCGAGTGTGAGGAGCTGGATAAAGCACAACTGTGGGAGCCTTTGGAGGGAGCACAGCAGAAGGTTATCGAGCTTTCCTTGAATTCGGTGGTGGGGTTATCGACTCCAAAGACCATGAAGCTTCGTGGTATCATCGGACAACAAGAGGTAATCGTTTTGATTGATTCCGGTGCGTCACATAATTTCATTTCTTTGGAAACAGTGAGAAAGTTAGCCATACCTGTTATTCCAACTTCGGGCTTTGGTGTACAAGTGGGAACGGGGGAATCAGTTCGGGGAAAAGGACTTTAGCATTATCGAATGAAAAGAATATTGCTTTGAAATTGAGTGGAGATCATTAAATGAAAAGAATGAAAGATGGTGGTTGTTTCAGATTTTTCTTTCATAAGAAAGGTCCAAGTTGTTCTTGTATGGTCATCTATGAATGTCACGAACCACCGAGCCCCATTGATATTTTTCACACGTGAGGGTCCCCAAATGTCACTATGAATCACAGATAATGGATGTGAGGGTTTGTATTGCAAACTGGAATATACATGTCTAGTATGTTTTGCAAGTTGACAAATTTCACACTGATAAAAATTGAATTTTATTGATAAACAAATGAGGAAACAATTTCTCAACATAAGCAAAGTTTGGATGACCAAGGCGATAATGCCATAACATGACTTGACTTTCAACTAAAACAGAATTAGAATTGGAAATAGACACAGAATTGGAAGCAAACTTGACAGACTTTGGACTAGACTTTGAAACACAACTTGACGGGTGAACTTGTCTATTTTGGAGATTATTTTCCTTGAGCAGATATAGACCACCATGCATCTCAGCACTGTCAATCACCCTCCTTGAATCCACAGCCTGAAAATCACAAAGATTGGAATAGAATTTAGTAACACAGTTTAGGTCACGGGTAAGTTGGCTGACGGAAAGTAAATTGCAGTTCAATTTAGGGACATAAAGGACAGAGGAAAGGAGAAGATCCTTTGTCAAATGAACTAATCCGGTTCCTGCCACTGGTGAGAATGATCCATCAGCAATTCTGACTCCAGAGTGACTAGTGCAAGGCTGAAAATTATTGAGAATGTTGAAGGCTCCAGTCATGTGGTCTGAGGCTCCTGAGTCAACTATCCACGGTTTTGATTGGTTATTTTGGACAATAAAAGCATTGGATGGGATACCTTGATGTGCAAGAAGGCTGGTGTGTTGCTCAGCAGTGGAGTGTGATGCCTGTCCGAGATTAGCAACTTGGCTAAGCATTTTCTGCAGTGCCTCAATTTGTTCCTTGGTGAATGGATTGCCCTCTGCACTAGTTTATGTAGTGACAGTAGCATTCACACGGTTCTCCCTTTCATATCGACCATTAGATGGCTTCCAATCTGCAGGTTTGCCATGTAATTTCCAACATGTCACCTTTACATGACCAAGCTTCTTACAATGGTCGCACCATGGACGTCCTTTGCCAGCCCTATTGTTCTGAGATGAACTGTGGGTGTATAAGGTTGAACCTTCAACTGCAGGTGTGATGTTAGTATCTGTCATCATCAATTTCTTCCTGCTCTCCTCCCTCCGGACTTCTGCAAAAGCTTCTCGGATAGTACCCCGGACTTCTGCAAAAGCTTCTCAAATAATAGGGAAAGGTTTACTTCCCATGACTCTCCCCCTGACCTGATCTAGGTCTTTATTGAGACCAATGAGGAATCTGATTGTTCGTTTCTGCTCAACAATCTACCTATACAATGTAGAGTCATTAGCACACTTCCAGGAGTGGATCTCATACAGGTCCAATTGCAGCCAACAGCGTGTGAGAGCATTGAAATATTGAGTAACACTCAAATCTCCATGTTTTAGGTCATATAACCTAGTCTCAATATCAAATAACTCTGATGTGTTCTCTATGCTGGAATACGTTTCACGAGCAGCCTCCCATATCTCCTTGGCTGTTCGGTGAAGCAAAAAATTTTCTCCAACCTCCGTGGTCATGGAATTAATTAGCCATGACATCACCAGATGATCATCAGTTTTTCAAGACCGGTATTTAGGATCTGTTGATTCAGGAGCAGCAGTTTCGCCTGTGAGATGTTCGTCCTTCCCTCGACCGCAGATGTACATGAAGACAGATTGTGACCATTGAAGAAAATTATGGCCATGGAGTTTATGATTTGTGACAAGGTGGGAAGTATCGGGAACAGAGGGAACCGAAGGATGAGACTCGGATCTAGAGGTAACTTCTGAGGAGGAGGATTGTGAAGCCATGCCGTACCTGGTCATGGTGAAGAAACGGCCAGAAAAAGAACGACCAGAAAGAAGAAGAAGAAAGAAGATTAGGGCTCAGAACTTGGCTCTGATACCATGAAGAAATCACTGAATATTCTTTTTGTATTGAAAAGAGATTTACAACCTAATATAAAGCTAACCGTGTGGCTGGCATACCAGTCCACCAAAATAGGAAACTGAAATTCCTTTTAATTAGGAATCCCAACAAAACAGGAAAGTGAATAAATCACAATAACTAATTCGGAAAACAGAAACTAAATCTAAATCTAATCTTTTCTAAATAAAGAAGGTAAATAAAACTTCCTAACTTTACATAAGGGTTGATACCCTTTTCTACAATAACTACATCCTAATAAGAAGATAACTTCTTCCTAACTCTATCTCTAAAGTCTCATTTACCGGATTAGATTAGGATCCGGTCAATGATCCTTATATATGTTAGGGGTGTTTTCCGTGCAGGGGCACTAGTGTCTTTTCCGTTTTGGTTAATAAAAGAGGGGTCAGATTGGTGGTGGGGTTTATGGCCTTTTTGGGTGAGTGACAGAAAAGCGGAGAGAGTTGGACCTCTCGAATATCGATGCGAGTCTGTATCAGTGCTTGGGAAAAACCAGTATCAATACAAATTGTTTTCACTTTATTTTTCTCTTGATTTCTCGTTGTTTTCTGTTTGTTTTCGTTCTTCCTAGCTTGTGCTTACCATGTTGGTCTTAAAATCTGCTTGTTTGCTTCTTACCAGGGTTTCTTGGATTCCCAGAATGTGGGGAGTAACATAGACGATCTTGAAGAGTATGCTGACTTTGAAAGACCTCTAAGATCTGAACAAAGCACAAAAGGTTATGGTACTCGGAGTCGGAAGTCTCGTCGAATGATTAGGGAGATTGAGGATGATTGGGAGCTTCCAATGGATTACTTGTGATCTGCTGGGCTTTCACTATCTCCACAAACAGAGTGAGCATTACAGGTCACCTCAAGTCTATGCTCTGTTTTTAATTTGTTTTGGCGAACAGAAGCTGTTGTATTGTTCATGCATAGTATCACCAAAAAAAAAAAAGGGTCACCATCATGTGCTGAAGTTGGCGGATCTATTTAGTTCTATCTTGACCAAGAGCTTCTTGTGTATATAATTGTAAATGAGTTAAAGAGTACCACATGTAGTTTTAGCATGCACTATGCCTATTTATCAATGTGATTATATCTTGTTATTGTGAGCAACGGGTGATCGGAAAAAATTGTGGATCTTTCTTGGACCATTACAAGGCCTGGTGGCCTTTCTATGTCAACTTTTGCACCCTTTTAAAAGTGTAGTCTGGGTTTTCAGTATAGCAGAACACACAAAATTTACAAACAGATGAAACTCAACACTCAAAAGTGAATAGATCAAGTGCAAAATAATTCTGTAACAAAAAAAAATATGGCCCATGCAGGTCTCGAACCTGCAACCTTCGCTCTAACCAACTAAGCTAATAGTAATAGGCCAACACGTTCGATTCTGGCGTCTTATTTTTTTTGACGAAAAAGAAGTTTTGGAGCCACCAACTTCTATTGAGAAGTGAGATCTGATAATAGTATATACATTTGTTTGGGGGTGGGACTGCTACTGCTTTTGATGATGCAAACTATGAATGCTGGGCAGCGCAGTCAGCAAAACAAGAAAGGCAAAAAATAAAAAATAATAAAATAAAATAAAATAATGGTGCCACGCCAAGCAAGATATTATTATTGATGCCTGGGAGCGCTTACTGGAGATTATTCATTGTATTTCTGCCAAACCCCAAGCCAAAAGCGATCCTTTTCTTGTCGTTTTTAAGTAGAACCACCACGACGGCACACTTATTCTTCTCTTATCTATGATTGGGTTTTGTTTTCTTTATATTGATTTCCTGTCTGCCCATTTCTCTATGTACTTTGATTCGATCAATTTCCTCACTCTTTTTTGTTTCTTCTCGAACGATTATTATCCTCTCACCATCTAATCAAATGTCCATTGAATATGTTCATTGAATTCGCTGATATGTTGTCCTTTTATCGAAATATTAGGGTCGGTTTAATTTAAGATTTAAACAAAAAAGTTTAAATATAATTTAAATTTTGTGAGAAAATATACGTAGTAAAAATATTTAAATAGTAATTTGAACTTATGAAATAAACACACGGTAAACCATCAAATATCCATTGTCATTTTTCGTATAACGACGTTTCATCGTCGTACAGTCATTGTCGTTCTGAAAAATAACGAGAATCAATCACTTATGAGATGTTTATTTTAATAATTCATTTTTAATTTTTAATTATAGTTCTTGATTTTTTACCGTGTTTTTCTCTTATAAAAAATTTAAATTTTAAAAATTTATGATTTTAAACTCATAAATCAAATGTCTGATTATTCTCCTCCCACCTGAGTTGTGAGCACTCTCATGTGTCTTCTTCCTACATTTGGGTCCCACCCACCATTGAAGTTCGAAGAGTGTGACACAAAGGTCGTTTTCGTCAAATCATTTCGTTGAATGTACTTCACAAATTAGGAACCATTGATTAAAACATCTATGATAAAACAAAGAAAACTAACCAAAAAAATAATATAATAAAGAAAGAAAATGAAACTCTGCTTTATAGCCGTTACCGCCTGTCTTAATTCAAATTCAAACGTCTCTCCAAAAAATTCTCATTCATATATTATTATCTCATCATCTTCCTTTTATATCTATCTCTCGCATCCAAACAGAGCAATTATCAGAGAAATCAACTTCTAAGATTGGAGTCGGAAAATGCTAACAGCTAAATATCCGGTCACCGGAGACCAGAAACTCCGGCCGAAGAGCGCGCGGAAACCTCTCCAGCCGAAGAACATCCCGGCGAATCCCGTCGTCGTCTTCGATTTCGCGAAGACCGCCAAGCCAGACCAAGAATGCGTCAAAATCTCTCTGCTCTCGAACAAGGAGAACCAGCCGGCGTTTTCCTCTCCGGCGAAGATCGAGTCGTTTGACACTTCGCTGGCGGAGGAGCTGAGCGCGATCAAGAAGAAGCTGGAGCGGTTGAAAGCCGACAGAGAGAAGACCGAGAAGATGTTGAGGGAAAGGGATATGATTCTGGATTTGCAGACGAAGGAGATCGAATCTCGAGGAGAGATCCAGAAGAAGCTCGAGATTGAGGTCGATAGGTTGTACAGATTGAATCAGCTTCATTCTCAATCACTGGTGAGATAAAATCAATTTTCTTGTGTTTAGCTTCAATTCGGACTTCGATTATTCGTATCTGATTTGTGAAAATGGTTTCTTCAGCAGAGATTTTCTCCGATTCGGTCTCTCCGAGAGAAGGAACGAGCAAAGAAAGGCACTGAATCTGAATCACAGGTAATTCATATGAAATAACCTAATTTGAAGTTTGGAAAATTTTGGATTTCCATTTTTGTTTTGAAAGATTTGTTTTGTTAAATTAATTTTCAGGAGTCGAAAAGCAAGGATAGAGAGGACTCCGTCTGCCAAAGCTCCCCGCCCGAATTAATCAGTTCAGCTTCATCAGAAATTATTTCAGAGACCAAGTAAAACTTTTTTTTTTTTTTGGTATCAAAAAAAGGAAAGATTTTTCTTTTTTCTTCCAGTTTTTAAATTTTGGGTTCTCTCTTATTTGACTGGCCTCACTGTACCAATTCAAGGACAGTGTAATATAATACCTCATTATGTTGCAAATTTTGGGTGTTGAAAAGTAGTATTGTGTTTTTCCTCACATGAATTCTGAGTCTAAAGAGTTTAGTCACATGATTTTGGAGAAACTGATAGGAGACAGATTTTATCATATTCAACTGCTTTTGTTGTTAATTAATCATCAGAAAGTCATATCAATAGTAATTATCATGCCCACAATTTTGCAAGTGGTCAGCGACCTCATTTAGTGGACTTCAAGGAAATTTTTGTATTAACACAAATTTCCTTAATGTTCTTGTTAATCATTTTTGCAAATGGTTTTATAGAAGCTTGCAATGATCTTAAACATAATAATGGGATTGAATTGAACTTGAAACGCCAAAAACCGTTTGGCCTGATTAGAATGAAGGAGTAAAAAGGCAATTAACTGAAAAACGTTGGCATGAACTTCCAATTTTCAAGACAAAGTGTCAATTCTTACATTGCCCTTTCTATATTAATCACCTAATGCGGTTGGAACATGCTTTCTCAGAAAATGTTGAACCAATAATTTTTTTTTATAACCATACAGAGATCAAGATTCTTTTATTCACTTTAAAAGTTGTTTTCAGCATTTTTCGTAACAGCAGTACTAACCACCTTGTGTCTACCGAAAAATCTTTGTATAGCCTTTTATATTCCAAGATGAGCAACAAGTATTACTTTAATCACCTATGATCTCTTTAATAACATGAAATTCCTTTGGTTCCTAGGACATATATATATATATATATATATGTATACGTATGTGTGTGTGTGTGTGTGTGTGTGTATATTTATATATATATATATATATATATATGAAGGACGCAAAGCACTTACTGGGAATATATAAGCACCACACCTAGATAGAAACAGTAGCTCTTTTGCATCACTTCTTTTTTTCAAGAAAATAAATGAAACAAAAGGTGCATATTCTGGTTTCTTATATGCGGTTATGTATATAGCCCAGAAAACTAAGGAAACAGCCTTAAAAAAAAAAAAAAAAAAAAAATCAAAATATGCTTGTTGGTTTCCTCTGTGAGGTGAGGTCATTGGAGCGGGAAAAAAGACTCCATCATTGACATCCAATTTATAAATTATCCCTTGAGACTCTTATTAGCAGAAAACCCTATTTATATCTTGCGACTTCGCAGTGGCAAAGATTCAATTATATACATATGCATTCCTTATTGTCGGAACTTTGAACAAGGAAGCAAGGTTCACTACCTTAAAATAAAAAGATCAATCCCAGAATAAACAATCATGAGCGTATACATGGCTCCTATATATAGTAATCATTGTTGGACTCCTCTGTGACTGTAGAGAAAACAAAGAAGAAATCTGAAAATGATGATCAGCAGAACTTCCAGTGGTGGTTGCAGTTCATGCAAGTGACATAAGTAGTCATGGGCTCGTCAGCACTCCTTGTCTGCATCTGATGGTAAACTGTCTTCCTCTCCCCGCACCGACCGCATTTGAACTGATCAGTCGTCGCTTTCTCTTTGGCTTCTGATTTACCAGTCTGGGCTTTCTCCATGGCTCTTTCTTCCATTCGCTTTATCCAAAGCTGCAATTCCTCGCTCGCCATCTCCGTGTTGGACATTGTCATAAGCCTCTCTGGCTTCACCTCTCCCAGAAGAACTTTCCTCCTCAAGTCCGGGTTCTTGGGGTCACTCAAATTGAACAAGATCGACCTGATTTTCTTCTTCTCATCCTTAATCTTGTCGAGCATGGCTGTCTCCACCGCCGCAGAAACCTCAACTGGATCACAATCCTCGACTTTATGTTTGAGATCACTCTCCTGACCAGCTTCGGTAGCAACTCTCAACAGAGCCGAGACAAGGTGTTCTCTGATCTTGATGCGACAAGCCTCCATGTTCATTACTGGCGACATACTCGAAACGTTTGCATTACGATTTATTTTGAGTTTGATGATGATCTTACGATGAACATCAACCGCCTTATTTGTAGTTTCCTTCATATTGGATTTTCTCAAGTTTAGGCAGTCTTTTTTGCCATTGTTTAATTCTTCAATGAAGTGAGCCTTCCATGTCCGAATAATCTCAGAAGCCAAAGTTCGAATACTTTCTTTAGGATGTTTCGTGAGAGGTCGAAGCTTCTTTGCAACCTGAAATTAATATACACATTCAATATTATTAACTAATTAGGATTATAAGCCAAAGTGATGCAGAATATATCTAAATCTCTACAACATTTCATTCTTGTTCTGAGCACCTAAAACCGATGTATATTTTTATCTGTTCTTGAAGGAAAAAAAAAGAAAGAAATCTTTTTTTGTCTCTATAAATCTTTTTTTTTAATTCTTGACTGATAAATTAATTCCATTTCATGAAAACGGTAGAGCCAAACAAAAAAAAAAAAAGATCTATGAGAATTAAAGAATATATTATATGCAATATACAATATCATGACAGAATTTGTTAAAAATCTGTCAAAATACGATCACTGGACTACTCTCTATTCGGCAGAAACAGATAAAAGCTTCAATCTTACGTAACTTTGAAATAATGTAACAAGAAGATTAAAGGTAAATGTTGGACACACTAGCTTAGAAACAGAAATACTAGTCGCATTATTAGTGCTTAAAAGAAAACTATAATGGCTTTAAAGAATGAAACAAGAAACTGCCATATGCCCTAACAAAAAGTATAGATCAAGATTATACACACATATATACATACCATAGTAGAAACAAGAAGATCGTTGGTAATGGGAAAACATCCAAGTTGGTTTAGAGCGTCAATGCATCGCGAAACCTCCGCTCCATTCCCCGGAACCTCTTTAGCCGCTGCGATATCCGCCGCCTTTTTCGCCTTACAAAAGAGATCCAACAAGTCTTTCCCCATTCTTTAGTTAAACTGGAAACCAAAACGATGAAATTGCTGTTTCTTTAAGAAATTACGATATATATGATGGGAAAAGCTTTGGTTTTGATCTTTCTAACTTGTAATAAGGTATTTCATGAACTTATATTTATAGCGTTTGGTTTCCTGTTCCTTTTTGCTGAGAGATGGACAACAAAATTCAAGTAGGAGTCTAACTTTCCTTTTTTTTTTTTTTTTTTTTTGGCTGAAATCTAACTTTTGTTTGTTGTTTCCTTTCCAAATAAGAAATATTTTCAAAGGTTACTAATTTACGTTTCTAACCTTTCAACTTGTTAATATATTTGCCCACGCATCATGAGGTTATTAATTGGGTACTTTTGTAAATTCGTTCTTGATAAATTCTCTCATCTTTGAAATATAATCTTGGATAAATAAATAGAGTTGCCTTTTTGATTATTTTTAGGGTAGTTTCCTTTTTAGTTTTGATACTAAACAGAATAATCCATCCTCTCCCAAATGTGCTTTGATGACGGTACCTTTCCTAATCGGGAGTTCTGGGAAAATAAAGAAGCATTCTACGTATCTAATCCTTGTAGCGTGGCTTTACTTTTTATAATTTTTTTTTAACGTAATTGACATCTGTACTTATAGGGAAGTTTCTTTAGTGGGATTGGAAAAAATAAAATAATGATAGTCTTCTAATTTTCACGTATTAAATATGTATTAAAAATTATATGTTATACACATTTTTTTAATTTAATGTGATTTTAATCAGATTTAATGATCATGAACTGGTCTTATCTGTAGGCCGGACTATTAGAGGTCTCCATAGAAAAAAAAAACTAAGGCCTTATCGTCTGCAGCCTTCTCAGGTCCTCCAATTGTGTAAGGCCGAGCAACGAGCAAGAGCTCCCTTTCATCCTCTTTGCTGAGCTCAAGCTTGCCAGCTCCACCAAGTGGCAGAGCCACATTGTTGTGAGTGGGGGCATATTTCCCCACTCAACTTCTGAAATTTTAATTTATGTAAGGAAAACTTTTCAAAACATTTTAGTCCTGCCGTATTTTTACGATACCTTTACCTCCACTTAATAATTGACGTCTAACTTTATGAATCCATTTCACAAGAAAAATTATAACTATACTCCCACTCAATAATTGAAATACATAACTATTGAGGAGATAATCTACTTGAAATTCCTGATAGCTACTACTCGCTTGATTCTTGATCTCGAATCTCTTTCAAAAACTCTGAAATCAGGGGAAATGGGGTTTCATGCAAGGAAAACTCTCTGATGCTCGGTCAAACATCTTTCTTATGAAATATCTCAAAAATGAAAATTGATAGAGTTTCATAAGAAATCAAGAAAAATGTACATTTTCCCTTGCTTTTAATCCTATTCATAGACTTTTTGAGTGCGTAAAAATGTCAACTCAATTTAATCCTCACCATCAATTCTTAATGGATTCGTTCAACCTTTGGATTAGATTTTGCCACATGTCTTAATTAAAACTAGTCTTACTCACATGTCCAAAATTGCTGCTAGGGCATTAAGCTTTCTAATCTAGATCAACCCCATATTTATAGGTATCTGATAATATGTTTCTTTTTCTTTGGTTAGAAATATGATGGTATGTGTTAATTTGATCTACGGGAAATGAGACAAATATTCTTAAAATGCACGAGTCTAGAATTTTAACTATTATTTTTTATTAGTACTTTTTTTTTTTTGCCAAATAACTATATTAGTCAAAAATGTATTAATTTAGAATAACGAGTATAAATCTAAATCCAAACCCATACACAGTGTATGTTCATATATTTGCAAGCCCGGTTGAGATTGATGGTCTGGAGGAAAGGTTTTCTTGTGTTGTCGGTTTTGGGTTTTCTTTGTTTTTGTTTTCTAATTTTACTGTTCCATTTCTTTTCTGTTTGAGAAAATTACTACACTTAACTTTAAAAGTGCATCAGTATGAATTTTTACCCCTTACCTTAATTAATACCTTTTTGTTAATATAATTACTTGACTAAAAAAAATGTTAATCAAGAATAAAGAGTAGAAATTAAGATCCATATACTTCTAAAGAGTATTTGTCAAGATTTCTCCCCCTACTTTGTTTTTTTCTGACATTTGATAATTTTTATAGTAAAAGTAAAACGTTAATTAAAAAAAAGAAGGCATGTAGCATATATATACAATCCATATCATTTCATCATAAATGTTATGTTATGACTTATGACAATCCCAATAACTCGTGTCTCTAAATAGCTATTTAAAGGGAAAAAAAAAAAAAAAACAAACCCAACTCGTTTCAACTTTCACCAACAAACTCATTTTGATCAGGATGTCACTTGGGAAGAGCAAAACCTTGACAAATGATATCAGTGAGGCTAAATATGGCCTCATGCCATTTCATCACAAGTATTATAACAAATCCCAATATCCCATGCCTCATATTCCAGAGGTTTAACTTTCTTTTGGACAATAGACACGTACATACATACGCAAAAAAAAAGTCTCCAAGTCCATTACATGCGCAACATTAGATGATAAAGTGCCACAGACACTCAGTTGACTAACAAAATTTCCATTTGACTAACAACTCTCTAAGACAGTTATATGGATGTGCACAGTCAAGAAATACAGCTTTCACGAGTGTCCTTGTCTACGCATTTTAATACTCTCTCGGTTCCCTTGCCATCTCAGCCTGCATCGAAGAATTTAAAACATCAGAGTCTCACTTAACATTGCGCATTTATGGTATTAAGAAAAGGATACAAAATGTTGTTTACACTTTGCGTAAGTTTAGTTAAGCACTTTTATCCAACTGAATCCAAAATCCAAACTCAAGAAGTCCCTGTTTATAAATGCAGTCGCAGGAAAATTTTCAACCCCCGACTAAATGTCTCCTTCAAACTATTCCATAGTTACATTATTTTAAAGTATATATTATTCCATGTTTACATACTATGACCTATAGAACCCATGATCTAAAGAGACAATGCAGTGACGTTTTTTAGTTGGTAAAAATTTCGAAGAGATATTGTTAATGCCAACGAGTCTTAAGAAAAAAGCACATTTTCTTTACCC